TGAGAGAGAGAGTGTGTGTGTGTGAGAGAGAGTGTGTGTGTGTGAGAGAGAGTGAGTGTGTGTGTGTGTGTGTGTGTGTGTGAGTGTGAGATTGTGTCTTTGACACACTCTGGTATAATATTTGTGCATGCGAGTTGATAACATGTAATGCAGTTTATAAAGACGTTTCTTCTGTACCCGTTCAGGATCTACTTATGGACACTCGGCGGTATATTCATATAATGTTGTGTTTAAATGGAATTGTTAGACGGTGACAAATGGCTTTTCAGACAGAGTGAACACGTTTAAGCTTTATTGGATCATTTAAAAGCTGACATCGTGTTAAACGTCTCCTGACTGAATGCTTCCGTCGGTATGAAGCATCTCTGAAACCCAGCAGACAATGTAGCTGTAGTTTAACAAACAGATCTCTACACTGTATGCCAGGTTCAGGACCGCATCAGTCTCGTCTCGTGCTCGTGTTGGTGGTTTTCCTCCACAAGTCTGGCGTTTGCTGTAGTGTTGTGAAGCGCTGCTCAATCACGGACTGACGGCCATCAGAGACCCAGTAGCCAGATGTAGCTGCTGCTGGAGACAGGACCTACACTGACCACTGAGCGAAGGATGGACGTCTGCGTCGCTCTGCTCCTGAGATAACGGAGTTAACAAAACAGACATGATCTCACGAAGGGAGACGAGTTCATGGGACATGTGTAACTGGCGGGTCGTTCAGCGCCAAAACAGGTGCATTAAACTCAGCCGATTGTATAATAGCCTGGAAGTGAGATGTGGCCTGGAAAATGAGTTCAAACAGACGGCGCAGCCTCAGGGGCCGCCGATGGAAAGTTAAACAGGACGGAAAGCATTCCAGATTAGGAGCGCTGACTCATGTGTTTGCAGCAGGGTGCGAGACGTCACTCTGGAACCTGAGCTGCAGCTGGAGAGAAACACACTTCAGTGGAGAACCTCGTCCTGCTGTCCTTCTCGTTCTGTCACACAACTGACGTGTGACGCTCTTTTTCCTCTCGGCGTCTCCTGTTTCCATGATGTCATGTGACACCAGTTTTCCGTGATTTGGCAGAAAGAGGCCTGCTGTCGTGATGATGCTGGATGGCGCTCGCTCGTCTCCTGCTCTCTAGCGACCTGTGAACTCTGGAGATGTGAGAGGACGGAACGGGAGGTGTTTAAAGGGGTCGTATGATGATGCTAAAAAATAGCATTACTTTATGTATTTGGTGAAATGCAATGTGTTTATGCAGTTTAAGGTAAAAAAAAAACACATTAGGACAAGACCACGGGAACCAGATGAGTCCTCTGCACAATCTGACTTTGCTGCGGCCTAGAATTAAACTGCTGGTTCGTCTGGCCAGAGGAGAACGGCACACTATTTCCCTGTTTAATACTGTAAAGCTGCTTTGACACAATCTGCATTGTAAAAAGCACTATATAAATAATGGTGACTTGACTTGACATTATTTTCCATAAACCGTACACACAGGTCGTGTTAACTGAAAAATTTCCTTCATTAACGGAAATTTTTTAGCAGTGAGGGAAAAATTTGAAGGCCGTCCGTCACTTTGACAGATTACACTGAGAGTGATCTACTGTAATTTATAACTGTAATTCCCGGCCCGGTCCAGTGTGGCAGCAGAGCGCCGGATCATCAGCTCCAGAACAAACATCAAACTGTCACCAGTCTTTTCCATGTGTTTGAGGCGAGTACCCAGTTTAAGCTACAGCAATCTATCACACCACATTAAAGAGCACCAAAACTGTATTTATTGCTTGAATTTCTTAATAAAATGGACAGAATTTGAAATCTGAGACGGTTTCATATCAAAAGTAATGAAGCACAAAGCTTAGCCTATTGCGATTTATTGAAGGTGCACTATATGTACTGTTCATTCATCAACTAAACGGCATCGATTGGGATTTAAGAATCGATATTGGTTCATAAAAATGACAATCTATATAAATCGAGAAATCTTTTCTTTTTCTTTTTTTTTTTTTGTTACCCAGCCTTAGCATATTTAGTTGTTTTTATTGGCCTCCGCGGTCACTGCAGGGTGTGTGCTGAACATGACAAGTGATGCTGTCTCTGTTCATCGGTTCTCTTCATAAATAAATAAAGCCTATATACTTGTCCTGTAGGTTCATTATTAAAAATGAAAATGTGAACAAAAAAGCAATTAAATGTTATTATAATTAAAATATGAAAATAAAAATGACGGGTAATAGATTGACGGAATTTTTATGACCTTGTCCGTCAAAATCTAACGCAACCTTTGACCGTACATTATTGTTGCTCCTTTCTGAAACGCGTAGATTTTTACGAAGCTCATGGTTCTGAAAAGCGAGGTGTGCTGTGATTGGCCAGCTATCCAGTGCGCTGTGATTGGCCGAATACCTCAAGCGTGTGACGGATATGTTACGCCGCTCACCATATTTGGAAACACACAGCGTCTCCACGACAACAATACTACAGCGAGAATAAAAGTTACGCCTTCTTTGCGTAAACATTTGGGCGGAGTTATGCAGATCTTCCCACATAGTGATGTAGACATGTGGGGCGTGTTTAAACGAGGCATTTTAGGAAGGCGTGGACGAGTCTTAACTTCTATAAACAATATCTCTTTGGATTTGAGACTTTAGTCTTTGCAACTTCAGGGATCTTATCTATGCACAATCAGCTTGTAACACTCCAAAGACAAAGGAAAGCTTGAAATCGCATCATATGACCTCTTTAAGCTTTAGGTGAAGCAGGGTACGATCTCTCTCTTTCTTCAGTCGGCGTGTGACCCGCTGCTGTTGTTGACTGACTCTTGAGCGCTGATATCGAACAGGAATCGAGACCTGACTGTGTTTCAAGAATAGCCTCTTCCAGCACATCTCTGATCTTACAGCTGTGTTTTAACTGCTGATAAAAGCAGCAGTGGGAAACGGTTGTGTCACATTGTAAGGCGGTGTGTTGAGTTGTGGTGTCGTATTTCACTAAAGACACAGAGATGTGGATCTGACCAATCAGAGCGCTCGTCCAAGCAGCACATTCATAAAAGCATGCTTTACCCTTCACCCACATGCTCTCGCTCTCGCTCACTCACCCGCCATTACACAGAGAACGAGGACAAACACAATGGCCACGTCTCAGACTCTCGCTGCTTACAGACTCTGAAACTCAGATCAAGCTCAGATGAACACATTAGGAAGATGTTTCTTTTAGCTGCTGTAACTGGTCACCATTTCTTAGACGTTTCACATATTTTGCCATTTACTGAAGAGTCCAAATATTTTGGGTATCCCTCAATTAATATGAACACATTTATTATATGAGAATTAGTTGCTAATTTAAAATGGTTTCTAGAGTGTAGTTTAGCATGTCTGACTGCAGGACGCGCCAGTTCATGTCAGAACTGCTCATGAGCTTCATAGGATTGCTGAAGAAGTTTCTCTTGATGGACAAACGCATGAGCGGCAGATGATCGCAGAGATCCTTCCCTGCTGTGGAAGCTATTTCATAACCTCTTCGAATGGACCGGCGCTCTGTGTGTGTGTTTGTGTGTGTGTGAGAGAGAGAGAGAGTGAGTGTGTGTGTGTGAGAGAGAGAGAGAGAGAGAGTGTGTGTGTGTTGAAGGTATCAGATGCTCTTTCTCGTCTGTCAAGATGACAGTAAAACGGCCTTTTTTCTGTTCCTCACTTCGCTCTCGTTTCTCTTCTTCCCAGCTTTTCTCTTTCACTCTTTCTCGTCTGACCCTAAACCTGTTCCTCGCTGGCTGTCTTGAGTCGGCAAACAATTGCACAATCAAACGTGACGTGAGATACCTGTTTGCAAACCTGCTGTTTTCCACTTCACATGTTCTTTCTCTTCTTTCCCAGTGAATCCGCTCTGTCTGTCAGGAAGCAGTGCTGGAATGAAAGCATGAAGAAGCACGTTAAGGTTAGTCTTTGGCATCCGTCTTGAGTTTAATGAGTAATCTGCTTCAAAGGCAGGTGCTGTCAGTCCACAAGCACTCCTGTTTTCAGCAGCACTCGATGTCTTTTGCTCTACATTAAATACTTCAGCACACTTTATCATATTTCTCTGTTTTTCCATCACAGTAATGTGTCACATTGTATCTGCCTGGCACAATAAAACCATGATGACTTTGCAAAATGTAGCAGTACTCACATTCGTGCAGCGGAAACCTCTCATCTGCCTTCATTACATCTCCACCTTTCTCTCTTTCTTTCGTTCCTCTCCTCCAGTTTCCCCTCATTCCTGATCTGTTCTTCTTTCCCCTTTTTACTCGCACGCTGTAATCGAGTCACATGTTGCCGGTCGACCTTTTTAAAGAGGGGCGGGAGCTCAGGTGGGCAGTGCCTCTTCATTCTGACCAATCGTGTCAGAGGGGCGGAGCTTACTGTGGCTTTTCCTCAATGGGAAGGTCAGAGGCTTCATTCATTGAGAAGCAAAGGAGTGTCATGTGCTGGAGAAACTGCTCATTTACAACGAGAAGCGAATTATAACCTTATTCTAATACAGGAGGCAGAGTAGAGCTTGCTGGTTCATTAGACAACCGTTTCCACTCTCAATCTGATTCACTAAATCAGGTTTTCAGCAAAATGCCCTTCATATTTTAATTGTGTAGAAACCATTTTATAAAAGCAGTAAGACACTTGAGGTGCTGTTATATAGTCTTCAGCTGTATTTACAAGAGATCTCAAACTTTAATGCTTAAACGTCTATAGTCACACTGCAAAACAGGCTTATCTTAGTATTTTTGTCTTGTTTCTAGTCAAAATATCTACAAATTCTTAAATTAAGATGCTTTTACTTATTTAGTCTTGTTTGTAGGGGACAACTAAATTAAGTGCATTTTGTTTAAAATAAGTCAAATCTTGTTTTAAGAGTATTCTACTTACCCTACTGGCCGATAATTTTACTTGTTTTAAGCTAAATGCACTTAATTTAGTTTTTGTTTTTTTTCCTGGAAACGAGACTAAATGTCTTGTCATTTTTCTTATCTAGTAAAAGCATCTTAATTTAAGAATTTGTAGATATTTTGACTAGAAACAAGACAAAAATGCCTTTTTTTGTTCGTTCAGATCCAGCTTGCATGCAGGATGAGTAGCTGTAGTACTGGTTAAGTTAGTTTATATCTGTTAGATGGTTTTCACAAACGGTTCTGGTGTAACATCTATAAAATGTCTCCTGTGTTTTGGTGCTAATGGACGCTTCATCACAGCTTCAGCATGATTCCTGCGAGGCTGCTGTAGTCTGTGGCTCTGTGTGGGCGACTGCGTCTGTGTGTGTGTTTGCTGAATATATTTACAGAGATGCGCTCAGATGCATAGTGTGGACTAATATGACTCAAGTGGCCGTTTGTGGGCACTATTTCAGATGGTGGGAAATCAAAAGCTTGTATTGTTGTTCCAGATTAGTCGTAAACAATAATTTGAGTCGCTTATGTCTTCAGAACTGCAGTCAGTCTATCAAAAGTGCAGCAGGTTTCTACAAACCATACTTCTTCAGCCAGTGTAAGTATAGTGTATGTATTCACACAAACATATTCTTGTCTGGTCTTTTTCATCCTGATGGGTTTCTTCAGCTTACTAAAGATTCATTTCTACGGGATAAATCTGTTCAAAATGTTCAGAGAATCAACATGGTCAGATTTTAAGATAATTCGTTATAAATGTTGCCATATCTAGCATTAACCGCTATTATGAATGCATTTAGGCCACAGAATTCAGCAACACTTTATTTTAAGGTGTCCTTGTTACACGTTATATGTACATACTATTATAATTACACTTAATTATGCTTAATTACATGCAAGTAACCCTAACCATATAGTAAGTACATGTAGGTAATTAATATCACTCAGTACTTACATGTATAATTACGCTGTAACAAGGACACCTTAAAATAAAATGTAACCCAGAATGCTTTTAAACTGATTTTCATCTACTGAATTGTCATAGAAAGAAAATATCACAGCTGATCATGCCGACGAAACTCAGTTATGATCAGGTGTTGATATTAGCTGGTTATGAGCTATGAAATGTACCTGAGTTTACGCAATTACTTAAAATCAAATCAAACATACTTCAGCTTGAAGACAGACTGTGATTGTAGCTGGTTTAATAAATGATTCATAAATAACTGTGTCGATAAGAAGTAGGCACACGGCTGTAAACCCAGCATTTCTACAGTGAAACGTTGACAGCATTTAAAGTCTGTTTCTCACTCGCCGAAGCATCCAGATGTGTAGAGGTCAGAGCTAGTTAGTGCACTAGTTAGACATCACAACACGTTAACCATCATGCGCTCAACAAACACAAGAGAACTCGACGAACCTTAGTTCCGTTTCCGGCGAGTTTAACCGAACGATTCAGAACCGCTACTTTAGTTTTGACATCTTCATAAAGCTGCTTTATCTACATGCGCCGCGGGTTTCTGTGCTTTAATAATAAACAGTAATGAAGTACAGAAGATACACGGATCTGAACGACGAACAGAAAGAAAGAAACACTTACCTTCATTCACGTGAAGGCGCCTGCTGAAACTAGAGAGAAAACACGCGAGTTTAAACTCTGATATTCATCTGATTGAAATATATCGATATATCCGTCAGTGATTTGATCTGGAGTGATCATCAGTTCTGCCAGTGTTTCATCTTCATCAAGCCACACATTAATCTGTGTTCTGTCTCTCGCAGTGTTTCCAGCTCCTGACTCTGGAAGCACAGACTTCATAACGTCTCAGATTGAGTGATGTTAATGCAGGTTATTGAATTAAAGAGTAAATACACACACACACACACACACACACACACACACACAGATAAAGACTCTTACCTGAGATGTCAGCACTAGCACGTATGATTCCATTTATTTTCCCCATTTTTCTTCTTTCTTTCACTGTCCTCTTTTTAAATTTTTTTCCTATGCTTGTCCTTTACTGGCATGATCTGAAGTGAGCTGCATTCTACATGCAGACATATTTCTCACTGTGATATAAAAATCTCTCGTTCTATTAAGCGTCTCTCTCTCTCACACACACTCTATGTGTTTCTTTCTCTCTTATTCACACAAGTGATCAATCGGCAGGCGGTGAACAGACTTAACTCCATATACCTCTCCACCCCCGTGTGTGTGTGTGAGCGAGAGAGTGTGTGTGTGTGTGAGAGAGAGAGTGTGTGTGTGTGTGTGTGAGAGAGGGAGTGTGTGTGTGTGTGTGAGAGAGAGAGAGAGTGTGTGTGTGTGTGTGTGTGTGAGAGAGAGAGTGTGTGTGTGTGTGTGTGTGTGGACCCCTGCCTACACACTCTCTCAAGGGCTCTCAGCCCCCAACACACTCACACTCAGAATACATATACAACAGCACATTTACACCGACAGCCGCCCACGAGAGCACTTCCATTCCTACATCGCCGTCTAATGGAGCCGCGGCGGCCCAAGCTAATTATGTTTCACCCTCCATTAATTAATAGAGGCATTATCTTACACGGGCTTTAATGCGTTTGGATGAATGTTACACCGGGTCGTGTCTAATCGCTGACTGTCTGTAGCCCTTCGATATCAGACTTGGCATCCGCTCCTCCTTCAGACCGAGCGTTACGAAGTGTCAGGATCATGGAGGTCAAATCACATTAGAATAAATTAAGTGCTTCTGTTTCACCAGAGAGGCGTGAAGAGCGACGCCGGCTTCAACCTGCCAGCGGTGTTTCGCCACAGGACTAAATAAAGCAGTCGCAGTTAAGAACAGATCCTCTTTCCAGTTCTATAAGAGCTGAACTGAACGCAGATCTTTGGGTCATTGACTCTTTCCGGCCGTTAACCCAAACTGACTCAGATTGCATGTCAAACCGGTTCGATTCTTAACCTGAAATTAGTCTCAAACGCATTATCGACGTCCGTTTAGAGCGACACGACAGCGGCGGCATTCATTAGCATTCTGGTGCTGGTTAACAGATGAAAATGTGAGTGGGAGATGAAGAAAGAATGTGTCGCTCCACACTTCAAGACTGCAGGGGAGGAGAACTAGTCAACTTAGACTCGCTTTTAAATAATTACCAGCAACCCTGATAATGAGAGAGCGACTCGCACCATGCAGGCAGAGCTTTCAGACATGAAGACGGACAATATAAGAGCAGAAAGTGGAATGGAATCTGTCATCTCTCCATCTTCACACGAGCACAGACTGCTCTCTGAGTGTGATTTCTATAGATTGTTCCTGTGTGATTCTGGTTCTGCTGGAGGTTTCGCTGCTGTGATGGACACAGGGCTCCTCACACGGCTGAAGGGTGTCCTGTGTGTGTGTGTGTGTGTGTGTGAGAGAGAGAGAGAGAGAGTGTGTGTGTGGGTGAGTGTGTGTGTGTGTGAGAGTGTGTGTGTGTGTGTGTGTGCATACGGCCCGTGGGTGTCTGCGTGGGTGACTGTGTAGGCGTCATGTGAACCTGACTCACGGTTCAGTCTGCTGTAGAGGCAAAACAACACAATAAACACACAATCGCTGAAGCATCGCTCTGATTGGACCAGAAAAACAACTCAACAAATTTCCTCTTTGAGTGACACAATTACAATAACCATGCTAGCCACAAAAACGGGCAAATACATATTTTCTTTCACGTTTTTGCGTGATTGTTTTAAAGTTAAGACCAAAATTAACATTCCTAAGAAAAAAATGAAGAAAAGACGTCGTTTTTTCGTTATCATTCCTATTAGTAGTAGATGTGCTAGCAATATAATGTTACTTCTATTTTACTCAAATTAAAATTTTTTATAACTGATTTGTACTGATATTAATGACATGAATACTTGATGTTTTTTAATATGACCCCGTTTTGTGTTTTTTGCGGGGTCTGACGGTGGCAGCTTTGTCGGTTCGGGTGAATTCGAGTGTGTTTGAGTGAGGAATTATACAGGATTGTGTGGGCGTTCGCTGGCTGGAAGCCCATCGCTGCCTCGCTGTAGAGAATGAGAGCTGGCGATGCTCGCTTTATTCATCCCAACAAACTACTGACACGCAGAGAAGAGGAGAAAAAATGTTCAGAATTCACCTCGCTGACACGAGCCGCCGGTTCACATCGGCCGGAGACCGAATCTGTCGAAGCTGGTGCGGTCTGTGAGGCTCAGAGCCGTTTTCACTGCATTCACAGCTCAGAGGTGCTGCTGTGCTGAGTGGGAGGTTTGTCGTCTCGTGCCTTTGTCGCGCCGTGACCTTGATTGGCAGGAAGCTTCAGGCTCTCAAAGGTTCCTGCAGAAACCATGGCAACCCGAGTAGAGTAAAAGATGAGGCGCAGCTCAGGAGGACAAAACCCGTCCAGACCC